CACACGCACACTCAGCTTTGCAGAAATTATGGGCATTCTGTCGAAGACTTCTGGTGAAGTAGAAAGCACATGAATCTTACTGTTCAATCACCCACTTCCCACACGCAACAATAGCTCATGGGTACCACAAATAACTTTGCCAAAGTTCTCTGCCAAAGTTGAGCACGTGAAGCTTGCAGCTCCCACTACATCGCTCTGACCAAGAAAGGTAAAAGAATAGCAAAGAAACAGCACTAACAAAAGTTTAGACACATAAATTTTGAAGGTCTAGCTACCATATTATTACCCACAACTGTAAAGGAACAGTACCACTGCTGGATAATTGGAAAGTCCCTGTGTGTCAACCTCTGTGCTTCGTGGCAAGGTAGACTAGCAAACATGCCCAACCTTTACTCACATTCGAGAAAAACACTCCCAATAAGATTGCTTGCTCCAAAATCGAAGAGGCACCGTCCTCCGAATCTCGAGAGCCAGACTCCCAACATGACTACTTTCTCAAAATCGAAGAGAGGGTAAAGGAACAGTACCATTGCTGGATAATTGGAAAGTCCCTGTGTGTCAACCTTTGTGCTTCGTGGCAAGGTAGACTAGCAAACATGCACAACCTTTACTCACATTCGAGACAACACTCCCAACAAGATTGCTTGCTCCAAAATCGAAGAGGCACCACCCTCCGAATCTCGAGAGCCAGACTCCCAACATGATTACTTCCTCAAAAATCGAAGAGACACTGCTCTCCGAATCTCGAGAGTCATACCCCCAGCATGATTGCTTTCTCAAAAATCGAAGAGGCATCGTTCTCCGAATCTCGAGAGCCAGATACCACAGACCACTTTTTCAAAGTGCTCTGACAGGAGTTAAAACATGTGAAACTGGCAGCTCCCACTACCGTGCTATGACCAAGCAGGGTAAAGGAATAGCATTACTACTTGTTGTTAGGGAGACTCCTATATATGTCGACCTCCATCCCCAACGGACAGGCAGACCTGCAAAAAAATGCTCAACCCTTCATCATATCTGAGAGGGCACTCCCAACGAAGCCTTTCGAAATATTCAGCTTTCTTTCCCCCCGATAATACCTCTGCAAACAAGCTATACTAGAGCAAGAATATCTCATATCATCAGGGTTAAAAGCAAAGAGTATCCCATATATCATGCTTTTTCCCTGTCTTTTCTTTTGGCCTTGTTTTTACCTGCAAGACAAGGAGAAAGAGAGCAATCAGTCAGCACTTGGAATCAAGCTTCCAGCCAGGAACTGACTGCCTGGAACCCCTTACCTGATTACTTACCTGGCATTGCTCTCGAGTACTCATCTTCAACATCTTATGTTTCCAGGGAAGATTCCGCATCTGCTTGAGGAACAGATAGGGCAAGTGCGAAGGATACAAGGAAGCATGTGGAGACAAGCGTAACAGCACACGTGCCGATACATTCATTACTCTGTCAAAAGCAAAAGTATCCCATATCAGCAGGGTGGAACGTACTCTAGATTTGATGGACTTGTTTTGACCCTCAAATTCTTCAGTCGGCCTTATACTCTGGAGGAAACCAGAAAACCCTCCAGCTCAGTTCAAGAATAAGCCTGTGGAAAGTTACTTCTTCAAAAGCAAAAGTATCTCATATCATCTCTTCTCATTTTTCTTCTCTTTATCCTTCATGCTGCTGCAAGATGGGGAGAAGGTGAACAATCAGTCGGAGCTCTGATTGCTTACCTTGTCTGTCACCTCTTTCAGCAGACCCCCTAGCTCGGCGACTTGGGGGACTCCTACTACATGGTTTGTATCGCGCTTGACCAAGCCTGAAACTACAAGTAAGCTTCAAGTGAAATTGATACATTACCTTGTGCATCTCCACCAGTTAAAGATACCACCCCTGGATGGAGGAAGAGTACTTCCAGAGAAGATGCCACATCTACCTATGAGACAGATAAGGCAAGTCAAGACGACACCACACTCCGATACTTAGAAGTTTCGTGATTACGAGATCATTCTCCCACAATATTTCCTAATGTCATTTGTACTAAATCATTCACTTGTACTCACTAAATGAGAGCTTGAACCTATGTACTTGTGTAAACCCTTCACAATTAATGAGAACTCTTCTATTCCGTGGACGTAGCCAATCTGGGTGAACCACGTACATCTTGTGTTTGCTTTCCTATCTCTATCCATTTATATACTTATCCACACTAATGACTGGAGCAATCTAGCGAAGATCACAAAAAGCGATCGTTTTCGCTACCTAGGATCTATCTTGCAAGAGAACGGAGAATTAGATGGAGATCTCAACCATAGAATACGAGCTGGATGGAAAAGAGTGCATCCGGCGTGTTGTGTGACCGTCGTAGGCCACTGAAGCTCAAGGGAAAATTTTATAGGACGGCAATAAGGCTAGCGATGTTGTATGGCACAGAATGTTGGGTGGTGAAGCATCAACACGTACACAAAATGGGTGTAGCGGAGATGAGGATGCTTCGTGGGATGTGTGGGCACACGAGAAAGGATAAGATTGGGAATGAGGATATCCGAGGTAAAGTAGGAGTAGCCGAAATTGTAGGAAAGATGAGAGAAAATCGGCTCCGGTGATTTTGAACATGTGCAAAGAAGGCCGACTGACGCTCCGGTTCGAAGATGTGACTACGGGACAGAGGTTCAGGGCCGAAGGGGTAGAGGAAGACCTAGGACAACTTTGGAAGAGACTCTAAGAAAAGACTTAGAGTACTTGGATCTAACGGAGGACATGACACAAAACCGAGCGCAATGGCGTTCTAGGATTCATATAGCCGACCCCACTTAGTGGGAAAAGGCTTTGTTGTTGTTGTTGTTGTTGTCAGGATCAGATGTAGTTATCTTATTTCATTTAACGGAAAATTGGCTTTTGGGAGTGATTTAATGTCTACGTTGTGTGCAGGTTTGATCTTTTGGATGTTTGTATCAATGGACCAAAAGAGAAGCTAGATTCAACTGTTATAAGCCAGGTATGTGCTGTGTTAATTGTTCGGTACTTTAGTTCCACAGAAATAGGATTGTTGTTCCTCCATGAAATGTTTTGAATGTGCACCTTATAGTCTACAACATTTATGCTCTTCTATGTCAAATGTTCGAGAATGAGTTTTTCTTGTGAATCATTGATAAGTATGCACCACTACTAATTTGCAGCCTGCTATTTACGTCACAAGTCTAGCTGCTGTTGAGTTACTACGTGCACGTGATGGAGGTCAGCTGATCATTGATTCAGTTGATGTCACGTGCGGCCTAAGTTTGGGAGAATATACTGCTCTAGCATTTGCTGAGTCATTCAGGTGAGTCATCGAACTGAGCAACATATGCTGTAATTGCAATTGTATTCACGAATACATACCAAATGAAAAATCTGTTAATTTTGCGATCTCCTGTTATGGGGGAGCGAGGAAGAGTTTATACATGAATTTAACTTTTATGATGCGTTTCCATGTTTGTAATACAAGGGAGAGGAAGCATCACTTTCATTGTTCACCTAGTACATGGTTTAAGATAGGAGATTATTGTTAATGTAGTCGTCAATACATGAAAGCAGATTTAGTACATTTGTCTGATCTTCAGTGGTGGCTATCTTCTTGTACTAATCTTTCCTTTTTTCGTTGACTTGATTCAATATGTAAGCTTTGAGGATGGGCTCAAGCTGGTCAAACTGAGGGGAGAAGCTATGCAGGTAAATTTTTGGTCGTGTGTCGGTTCATGTTACTGGAGGGACTAGGCTCACAGTCTGTTACACTAACATGCTTCCTTTTTACGACTTACTTCAGGCAGCTGCTGATGCTGCCAAAAGTGCCATGGTCAGTGTCATCGGGTTGGACTCAGACAAGGTGCAACAGTTGTGTGATGCAGCCAATGCAGAAGTTGATGACGCTGACAAAGTTCAGATTGCAAATTATCTATGCACTGTAAGAACTTCAACTCAGTAACCCTAAGGTGATTGCATCTTAAGTGCTTTTTAACAAAGTTTTGACCACAGCATGATTTTGTTGTGGTAGGGAAATTATGCTGTTTCTGGTGGTGTGAAAGGAATTGAAGCAGTAGAGGCTAAGGCAAAGTCATTCAAGGCCCGAATGACGGTACCATTCTTCATTTCCTACTTAGATGCAGTTCCATTCTTCTATTAACGATTGATGACGAGCCCACTTCTCCCCTGTTCCATTACCCTCAGGTGCGTCTAGCTGTTGCTGGCGCTTTCCACACTAGTTTTATGGAACCGGCCGTGTCAAGATTGGAAGCCAAGTTGGCAGAAACACAGATCAGAACACCAAGAATACCAGTTATCTCCAACGTTGACGCACAGCCACATTCAGATCCTGAGACAATTAAGAAGATATTGGCTCGTCAGGTAAGCTATCTAGAACTTTCTCCTCCCTATCACGTCACACGAGCAAGATCACTGATCTAGACCTAAACTCAAATTGACAGGTGACTTCTCCTGTTCAATGGGAAACAACTGTCAAGACTCTGCTCGGCAAGGGGCTGAAGAAGAGTTACGAATTGGGCCCCGGAAAGGTACACAAGTCTATACAGAACACCAATAGAATTTCAGTTGAATTTCATCATAGGATGCTCAATTTCTTCGCTTCTAAGTATATGGTTGGATCATGTATCAGGTTATAGCCGGCATTGTGAAGAGAATGGAGAGAAGTGCTGACATTGAGAACATTGCCGCTTGAGAAAGGCCATCGCTACTGCACTTCTACATCAACAGCATCCCGTTACCATGTAATGTAATAGATTTGCTAATGGCGGCACCTGGCGGCTGTTGGCGGCAGTGGAGAGCAGGGGCGGCAGTCGCGGTTCTACTTCCCAACTTTCCCGGAATTTACTACTGTTTAGAGTTATGTTAGGCGATTAGAAATCCTGTTTTTGGTATAATAAAGTTTGTTGCTTCCTAATTGTAACCTGCTTTTATTAATTAATCAGAATTAGTAGTGCATAATAAGGTGGAAGATTTGGTTTTTTTGGAAGATTTCCCCAGAATTATGTGAATTGCTGGATATTAATATTATTGAAATTATATTTTACACCCAACATATTTGAAAATTTGCAGTCCACTCCAAACAGATAAAAAAGAGAGAATACAATTAAACTGTTTTAGCTCCGGGACGAAGATTGTCCGACCCCGTGAAGGCGGTCCATCCAGTTGTTCTCAGCGATCAGCTCCGCCCAATGCGGAGGAGTTCCGGCGAATGAAATTCCACGCATGGCCTCTCTGACCCTCGTCGCGTTCTCCGCCGTCAGCGGCGCGTTTCTGCGACTCTCGTCTTCTCTGAACGCCCTCATGATCGCCTAATCGGAAGCCTCCTCCTCCTCCACTTCTTCTTCTTCTTCCGCTTCGCCATCCCTACTGCTGTTCAAGTGATCATTGCGCCCGACGTCGTCGTTTAGCTGGAGAAACGAGATTCCCCCCTCGACCTGATTGACAGTGACGCCGTTGGAGTGCAGCTGGGAGTGGATCGGAGCGGCGTCGTTTCCGATCTGGTCTTCGTCATCTTCGGAATCGACGGCGGAGACTGGCTGGTAGAACTCGGCGGCGGCTGCATCGTCGTCGTCGATGTTGGTGTCGGAATCGCTTCCGTTCTGGTAGTCTGTGACTGGAATCACAATGCACATATCAATAATCGATGAGTAGAGAAAACGAATTGAAAAAATAAGGAAGATAAATGTGGGAAATACGAAACCTTGGATGAAATCAGGAGGAGCTGCGGCGTTCATCGTCGTTTCAGCGGTGGAGAGAACCAAACATCCGAGAAGTGTGAGAAGCTCGTTTTGGGGAAACTCTATATATATATATATATATACACACACATTTTTATATATGTAAAGAACCAAAAAAAGGAAAAAGGATGCACCAGCCGGGAATCGAACCCGGGTCTGTACCGTGGCAGGGTACTATTCTACCACTAGACCACTGGTGCCTTGTTGGAATTTGAGAGGAGAAGTCTGAAAATATAATTGTTTTAGCTGCTTTCTCAGTTTATAACCAGCAAGGCTTATAGTCTATGACCATGGAACAAAATGCCGATAATATCGGCGAAATATCGTCGATATTATCGGTTTTTCAAGGGAACGATATTTTTTTTGGTATCCAACGGTTTTCGTCAAAATATCGCGATATTATTTATCGATAATATCGCGATATTATCGATATTAACGATAATATCGCCAGAGGCTTCGTCGTCGCAACTGCAGCTGAGGTCCCGTCGTCGCAGCTGCCAAGGAGAGGAATGAGGGAGAAGGTTCGAGGGATTGGGGAAGGGGGAAACACACAAAACCTTTCCCGAGGGTTTCGATCTCAGCTCCGGAGCGACAAGCGGCGTTGGGTGCCTTCTTCGTTCTTCCTGATGACGACGGGCTCCCAGTCCTGCGTGATGGGTCATCTTGACATGGCGATCGACTGTGGGAGGGGTGTGCGGGGTGTCGGAGATTTCTGGGCTCTCGAGGCGGTCTAAAAGGGCTTTTGGAAGAGAGGCGAGGGGGTGCGTTGGGGGGGGGGAGGACACGGGTGGAAGTGTCTGAAAAGATCTGGAAGAAGAAAAAGAAGGGCGAGGGGGAGGACACAGTGGAAGTGTCTGAAAAGAATAAGAAAAGCAAGGGTTTTGGATTGGTGCGTTGGCACCATCTGAAAAGAAGAAGAAAAAGTGGTGGTGCGTTGGCACCATCTAAAAACAAGAAGGAAAAATGTTTTCCAAAAAAAAACAAAAGAAGAAGAAGCAATAATAATTAAAAAAAAAAAGGTTTTGGAATGATGTGCTGCACCATGTGAAAAGAAAAAATAAAAATAATTTTTTAATAGAAAATTGTACAACAAGATTGATTAAAAATTATATATAAATGATTATGGTGTGTTTAGACTTATTTCATTAATTACTACATATTTTCTACACTCACAATGTTTGTCAGCTCGCTATATAATCAACTTGATAATGTTAAATCCATTATGCAATGCATTTCCTTCCAATTTTTTGTGATAAACTAATAGATAATTGACTAAATAAACATCCTGCAAAGTTTCAATAAAAATTTCCAAGTTTTGCTTACAATTTCCGTGGTTTCCATGTAATTTTTATCGATATCGATATTATCTCGATATTTCCATCGATATTTCCGTGTTTTTGAACTACCGATATTTCCGATATTACCGATATTTAATACCTTGTCTATGACAGAAATTTTGTAACCAGTCCTTTTATCGTGGATTGGTTCGTTTGGAAGTGCTTTTAGCATAATTAAAAATGTTTTTGGTAAAAATAATTTTGGAACTAATCCTTAATGAAAATGCAAGTAAATTATGAAAAAACCCTTTAGAGCAAGTCCACCAGAGGTGGAATAACCCAGCACAAAGTACAAAAATCAGGCTGGGAGCCAGTCAATCCACTCCAGCCCACCCTTTTGCCTGGGACGCAGCCCAAGCTGGTCTCCAGGCCAGCCCAAATTTGACTAAGCAAGGAACCGGGCAATTGGGTTGGCGCGTGCCTTTCACGCGACCTTTATGGCGAGTAGCCGACAGACGTTCAGAGGTTAGGCCCACCTAATAGGCGCACTCACACCCCACCCCCGGGTCGGCGACATGGCGAAATGTATGCCGTTGGATTTCCAACGGCTAGTTTTTGTAGACCGTTGGATTTCCAACGGTAAAAAAAAATTAAATTTGACTTTTAAAATGGACCTTCTGATCACAGATCAACGGTCCACGTTTTTTCTCCCAAAAATTAAGAATTTCACTTTAAAAAAATACAGAAAATTTTTAATAAATTTAGATATTATTATTATTGACACACCCCGTCCCGAAGGAGGGCATGCTGGCCGTCACGTGAGAGTGACGTAACCATTTGCACAGTACGGAAGCTTTAAAGATACAATTTATAAGTTGATACACCCGAAGGTGAGTCCTAATTTTGTCCAATCTGTCAGAAACACCGTCGAATTTCCTCGTGGTCACCACACACCTTTGTGATTCCTGAACCTGGAGGGGCGCAAAACCCAAAATTGAGTGGGTCAGTAAAACAATTCTTTTCCAAATCCAAACATTTCTCAAAACGTTGTAACCCCTCTCCGTAAAACCTGTATACTTTCCCAGAAATGTAAAATATAAATATACATATATATTCTCAAAAACTTCAATTCACTTTTTCAAACATTTTTTCATATCAGTTATGCCATGCCATGTTTAAAAATCAACAGTTAAGTATGGATGGCATCAACAATAATCATATCAGGTGCAAGAAAGTAATCAACCGGAGGCCCTCTAATAGCCATGTACGGTTGAACCTAGAGCTCAAAATCTATCACTCTCACTCTGCCGGAGTCACCTCTGTGACCTGTCCGGCCTTCTGCACACAAGTTACGCTCTAGTGCTTTCTCATCAATCATCTGTGCACATAATCTAAGGTCACCCACCAGTCGAAATCTCACTAACACTCTTCGACTGGCCCGTCGCACCCACTCCGCGTGGACTGTGCGACCAGCATCTACTTGGATCCAAGGCGAGCGTGCGATGCGGTGAATACTATAAGCACTAAACCATGGTGCAGGATTTGAGCTCAATATACATTAACATCATCATATCAGTATTTAAATACTCACCTGATACTCACCTGTGCGTCCGCCGCACCATTCATTCATATGCATCATATCTCAATTTCATACTTTTCATATCATTTCATGCATGGCAATTCGATTCACATTTCTATATACTTTTCATATACTTTTATACATTGCATTTAAAGCATACTTTCATTCAATTTCAATTTCTGGGAAAACGTCAAGTATATATATATACGGAAAACAAAACTGCCCACTCACCTGGAGTTCGCCCTACAACTCCCTAGCACAATACGCCAAGGCGTCATGACGATCGGCGCCTAAAACAATAATCAATTCCAACCTCAGAATTCATATCGATAGAATATATAACTTATATAAAATACGTCACTACGTAGTTCGATCCGGAAGATCCACCACTCAGATTTTAAATCCATAACTTCCAGAGGTCCACAATATATCTCTAGGATAACATCCTAAAATTTCATCACCATCCAACGGTCGGATCTCCGTCAATTAACAAAACTAAGTGACGGTTAACATTTTATTTTATGAACTTACAACTCCAATTCCGGAAGATCCGTAACTCGGATTCCCAATCCGTAAGTTCCAATAATCCTCAAACATTACGTATTGCAACGTATCAAAGTTTAGTGATGATCCAACGGTCGGATCGTCAATTCACATTTTCACCTAATGCGAAAACTATAAAACGTTATTCGAACACCTAACCAACAATCCTTAATAACTTTCTCATACGGTGCTCAATTTGGGTATATGAATAATACCACAGTGATCTACTCGACGTCACGGACGTCGACATATTTTTAAAAATAATTTTTTACTGTAGCACGCGCCCCCACGCGCTAAGGAAGGCACGGGTCCACGCGCGCCACACGCACCTTCTTCCTCGCGGGTTCGCCGGACTGGTTTTTTTTCCGGTGGCCGGAAAACTGGGGAATTTTCAAATGCTTTCGTTCTCCTTCGTTTCTCAACCATTTTCTTCGTATAATATATCAATTTAAAGCCCTCAACATGTAGAATCACAATATACTACTTTTAAGCTTCAAAAACAACTAAATCGCACCGGAAAAATCCAAGCAAAACCGGCCAAACTTAACCCTCGTGATCCCGACGTCCAAATCCTTCCAACGAAGCACTCCGAGCTTCCTTGGGACCTCACTAAGCTCACTATGAGCTTGGATTGTCCTAAAAATCAACCAATTCAAAGCTCATGAACAGTACACATTCACGGCAACTTTAGAAACTAGGGTTTTCGAAGTGAAACTTACCTTAAACTGGTACCTACGTGATCGTGGAGTCCTCAGGAGTGCAATGGTGGTTTTAAAATCCGGCGTTGGTAATAGTTTTAGGTGGTTTTGATGGTTGCCCGTGTGTTCGAGAGGGTGAGAGAGAGAGAGTGAGGTCTGAGGAAGAGAAAGAGAGTATGAAGGACAGTATACGGGAAATGGGGAGGGAAATAAGGAATGGGGATCCCACGTGGTCCTTTTCCAATCCCCAACTCTAAACCACAAAATTTTAACCTAAAAATCTAAGTTCCATCCTTATTAAATTCCATTTTATTTTCAAAACTTAGGAACCTAGATAATTATCAACTTGAGCTTCACATACTTAGTATTTCTTAAGGGCAATTTCGTCCATTCACAGCCACGGATGTAATATTTTGGAACGGGCTGTGACAATTATTATTATTATTTTATTTTTTATAAATTCAGAAATTAAAAATAAAATTATTATTTTATAATAAAAAATAATAATATTTTAATAAAATGGACTAGGCTATTTTTTGTTAGGGGTGGAGATGCTTTGGTTTATTATTGTTCACTGGGGTCTATTACTGTTCACTTGAGTGGATAAATGCGCTGGGTGCTAGCACAAAGTCCTTAGGGGTGGACTTGCTCTTAAGTGCTTCGTGGAAGAAGTATGAAACAAATTAACGGTTTTGATAATAACTATTAACTAATATCCTCACAATGATCCTTCATTTACCTAATACATATGAATGACCAAAAATCTTCAAATTATTATTATTCTTTTTTTGTATTTTTGCTAGACATGTTTTTTAAATGACAAATGAGATAAAGAACAATTATGCTTTTAAATTTTATACCCAACAAAGAAAAGATAACAATACGTATACGTTAAAATATACGTTAATCACAACTAGGTGGACAATGAGACGCACCTATACAACGGAGACATGTATTGTCCTACAAAAAGTAATTTCTCTTCCACTTGGATTTTAATTGGGGAGGTAAGTTCATAAAAGCACTTTTGCTGAGAAGCGCTTACTAGAAACAGCCACATATGGGCCCTGATTGCTTACTTGTTGTGGAAGTGCAAATAAAGAAGCTTTGTGTTTGTGGCTGAAGTTTCAACTTTAAGCCACACATTTGAGCTCTCCTACAAGCTTGCCCGGCAGGTGGGTGAGGGAGGGAGAGGGGAAGCGGGAAATGGCAGTTCCCATATTCCGGGCCTCAATTCCGAAGTCTCACCCGCTTATTCACTCCATTTCCTCTGCTCTATCACTCACTGATGAAACTTGGAAGAAGAAAAGATTGCTATCCTGCTCAGCTGCTTCGTCGGAACTCAAACCATTTCGGTGAGCCCAATTCTGAGATTTTCCTTATCGTTTCAGTCGAATTCTTCGAGTTAACTGTTTGAGCTTCTGATAAAATTATGTAGGCCAGAGCTGTGTTTCTCTGTTGGAACTTATCTTATTCCACATCCCAACAAGGTTAGTGCAAGCTCGCAAACCATGTGGCATCGTTCGGTGTCTAGGATTGAATTGGATTGGATTGTGTAACTCATTGGATTGAAGTACGGAATGGTTTTACTTCCAAATTTTACTTCCTTTGAAGGCAGAAATGGATTCATCATGAACGAAACTTATCCCTCACAATTATACTGTTTTTGTGGTGATTGTAAGGGATAAGCCGCCTTCTTGTCTAATCCATCTTCTACCTTCAAACGTACATCGAGTCTAATCTGTTACCAAATTCATTTCAATCCTAGACACCAAACAAGGCACGCATGTCAACTCATACTTTGTAAGTTTATTTGTGGAAAGCATTAAGTTTCTTTAAGAAATTCCCGGTCTTTTTTTTTAACCTTTGCAAGTCTCTGTGGGTGAAAAAGGTTGAAAAAGGTGGGGAAGATGCTTTCTTTGTGAGCAGCTACAATGGGGGAGTTCTTGCTGTTGCTGATGGTGTCTCCGGGTAAGGTTCTCAAACAGCGTTTTACGATTCAAAAAAAAAAGAGAACAAGGAATCCAGGGAAACTGGTTTAATAAACTCCAAGGAGTGGACACATAATTCAGATGTTTTTCTGCATCGATGCTGTAAGTCGTTCCTTGATTTCGGAATTTGTGATCTTCTTGTTATTTGGCTTGGCAGTTGGGCTGAACAGGATGTAGATCCTTCATTGTTCCCGAAAGAATTGATGACCAATGCCTCAAATTTTGTGGGAGATGTGGAGGTAGTTTCTCTCTAAACCAAGTAGCACTTTCACTATTGTTATGTAGATTTTTGAGTCTCTGCATATTTCGTGTTCGCTAAGAACCATGCATGTCACCTACGTAGCAGGTGAACAACGATCCTCGGATTCTGATAGGAAAAGCACACGCTTATACCTCTTCGATAGGTTCTGCTACGGTGTAAGATCATCATTTCGTTCAAGAGAACTTCGCTATAGTTGCCATATTTGTTCAAGAGATTCTTACTTCAGCTTTCCTATGCTGATTAGAATGATTGCCATGCTGGAGAGGGACGGGATTCTGAAAATCGCGAATGTTGGGGATTGCGGATTAAGGGTTATTCGTGAAGGTAATAGTTCTGGCTTTCTTTGCACAAGTTCTGATCAACTCTCAGTTTATTTTCAAGTGACATGTAGCTGTGACTTGACTTGCAGGTAAAATCAAATTTTCCACATCTCCACAAGAACACTATTTCGATTGTCCATACCAACTTAGTTCAGAGATTGTTGGCCAAACGTATCAGGATGCGATGGTATTTACACCACTCCAACCTTACGCGATTACTGTCTACATTTCTAGTCTTTCTAAACTTTCAGTCCCGAGTCCTACTTTGAATCAACTGCACACACACAATACACAAATGTCTCACGGGGTTTTATATCTCCTCTAGCCGCTCTGCATTGAAACACAACGGTTGTAAGACTTTCGAGTGCTCCACTCCGATTGCAGGTTTCCAATGTTGAGATGATGGAAGGAGACACCATAGTTATGGGCTCGGATGGACTTTTTGACAATGTTTTCGACCATGAAATTGTTTCGACAGTGGCCGGATACAGAGACGTTGCTGAGACTGGTATGTGTTTCCGAAATCAAACAAACGTGACCGGGAATTAATTAGTAACGAAGTCAGCACAGAACTTATGTGCTTTCTAACTGAAATTGATCTTATTGCTAGCAAAGGTATTAGCTAATTTGGCAAACAATCATTCGTTGGATTCAAACTTCGATTCTCCCTACTCCATGGAGGCTAGATCAAAGGTAAAATCATCGATCCGACTTAACCAACTTCGAAATCATAATACTCTCTCTCGACGAAAACATGATTACGTATTGATTTCCTTCCTCCGTAACACCTTTCAGGGTTTCGAGCCTCCTTTGTGGAAAAAGATTCTCGGAATGAAGCTTACAGGCACGGCCTATCCGGTTTTATACTATGATGACAAGGCCCCGTTATTCGTTGATCTCTTGGCTGACCTGAGTTTTCTGTTGTGCAGGTGGAAAGCCAGATGATATCACTGTGATTGTTGGTCAGGTTGTAAGCTTATGAAGCATTTTCGTCTTCTCCAAGAGATTCAAACTTAAAATACAAACATTCCCTTTTCCGGGTAGCCGGGCTATAGTTTTTCGGCATTTTTCATCCGGTTTTACGGCAACTGATTGAAAGTCATCTCTTCATATTTGTGTACAAAAGTCCTCACTGCTATTAAGTTCTAGCTATTGTCTGAATTTCTTATCTGTTTTAAGAGTACAATGCCATGGATTCTTCAAAATAAAGATCAACAGTCCAAGTGAAACTTTTGTGTCAACGTTTGTTTGGAAATGCTTTTCAAATGACTAAATACTTCAAATACTTAAAAGTACTTGTGGGTTATTTAAAGAGTTAAAAGTACTTTTCCGAGAAACACTTGAATTTTTGAGGAGAAAGTGTCTTGAAAAGCAGGACCAACATGGCTCTAATACAAAGTAGAAATCAACAACAACAACAACAACAAAGTATTTTCCCACAAAGTGAGGTCGGCCATATGAATTTTAGAACGCCATTGCGCTCGGTTCTGTGTCACGTCTTCTATTAGATCCAAGTACTCTTAGAGTCTCTTCCAAAGTCTTCCTAAGTCTTCCTCTACCCCTTCAGCCCTGAACATCTATCCCGTAATCCCGTCTTCTAACTGGAGCGTCAGTAGGCATTCGTTTCACATGTCTAAACCACCATAACCGATTTGCTCTCATCTTTCCTTCAATTTCGGCTACTCTTACTTTACCTCGGTTATCCTCATTCATAATCTTATCCTTTCTCATGTGCCCACACATCCAACAAAGCATTCTCATCACCGCTACACCCATTCTATGTACGTGTTGATACTTCACCGCCTAACATTCCGTGCCATAAAGCATTGCCAACCTTATTGTCATCCTATAAAATTTTTCCTTGAGCTTCAATGGCATACGACGGCCACACAACACACCGGATGCATTCTTCCACTTCATCCATCCAGCTTGTATTCTATGATTGAGGTCTCCATCCAACTCTCCGTTCTTTTGCAAAATAAATCCTAGGTACCGAAGCAAAAATCAACAACATGTGCGAAAATTATTTGCGAGAGATGGAATATAATTCAAAACTTTATGACTGATTGATTGATTCATACATCACCAAGAAACCCAATGATGAAAAGGATTCCAAAGGGTCTCATTCATGTAACACAGAATCTGACGAACGAACAAAAACATTTGACTTCTACGTTTATTAGAACAAAATCTGAGACGGGAAAAAAAAACTACTTGAAACAAACAACAATGGTAAAAGTACAAATAAATTTAACCCACACTCCAACTTACCGACTACTACTGCCCATAAAATAGACTGGAGTCAGGTCTGAAAACTTCTGATTGACTTGCTTACTATCCTTCGTGTGAAGCAACTCAGATCGTCAATTATACAGGCTGAAGATGTATCGCTATTGAAACGAAAAAAATCTCACTTGTCTTTAAAAGTCTCTTCAGGTTATAGTTCCGCTGTTACGACTGCCATTGAGATCTTGGAAGAAGGTTTTTGAGGCTTCATATGTGGACCAGCAGATGGCAGCAGCTGGGGCATGGAAAAGCGTTCTTGGAGCCCATCCCCTAAGAAGACCTTTGTACCCATCCTTTCTCACAATTGTTTGAATAACATCAGTAATCGAACCACTTTTAAATCTGTCACATCCGCAAATACCCTGTACAACAAATCCATGTTAAGAAAAGCAGCAAAGCTTCAGGCAGGTTTGCATTCAGATGAGTATTTCAACCTTCACTCAAATCATCCAGTGCCTAGTAATACCATTATAACTAAAGGTGTGTGAATCATTGGATATAGTAATACCATTACAACCAGGTATATGAATCATCGGATATAGTAATTCCATTACAACTAAATCCTATGGTTTATCAGTCATTCGTAAAGTCTTGAGCGAGGACCTTCCTTATCCTACGGCAAAGCACTAAAATGACCACCCATAAATCGTAGACCGGAACCGCCCCTCATGATTGATTGGGAGAAAGAGCGGGAGCGAGAAAGATGGATTGTTTGTTACTCTAGCAGAGGATCTAGTCCCACACCAATCTGCTTACATAAAAAATTACGTTCAGACTCTTATAAAAAATTACGTTCAGACTCTTAATAGATTGTCCAACCAGACTAACTAAACTTGAGTATGACACAGAATCCCGCTTTCAAGAGAGACAATCAGTGAACCACAGAAAAGAAGGATGACACTTATAAAAACCAAGTACCACACTTGTTACTTCTTTCTGCTCCATTACTCTGTCAACCACAAAAAAAACATTTTTTATTTGGTCTCCCTGCCCCATATTATTTCTTTACATAAGAAAAAGAAAAACACAAGCACAAACAGCCAGACCAAGTAACAATAACCTAGGATTCCATCGGAGACAAACTTTGCGGAAACCACCAAACAGAATTATCACCTTATCGCTATGCAACATCATTAGTAGATGCCAGGAATCGGAAAGATTACAGGGCAGATCAATCAGTGTCTAGAACTAAAGGGTATCAATTGCATTGTTGAACCTAGTAGCGTGGACGTGTAACTAAGTGGTATAAAAGTGATTGATTGTATGACGAAATTGAAAGCTTATCAGTTGCATCAGAATGTATTTAAATCAAACTAAACTAACATCAACAAGTTAATCTCAATATAGGAAAGCCAGAAGCTACTATACCTGACACTGTAATTGCGTTTTCACCACATCAAGCGGCGTAGTGACCACCGCAGCCAACCCCCCAGCTGCAGCACCAGCAGTGGCATGAACAATCAACCGCTCGTCATCCGCATGCTCGGGCGAAATCTCATTCAAAGCCCTCTTTGCCGCCTCGTACGTCGCGAAATGCACCGCCGTGTACGGGGCATTCATCAACACAGTCGTCCTGTAGGAAGCGTAAAACGCCCTAAACCCATCTTCCTTGAACACCTTCCGCACACAATCCCACACCCCCTTGTACGGGCTGTGCAAATTAGTCCCCAGCTGCAACCTCTGCTTCACCATATCCATCGGGGTAAAAACAGCGTCACTCGACACCGTTGCGAACACGCCGGAAATCGCGTGGGCAGCCGGGTTGTTCGGGTTCCCGCCCGAGAAATACTTCTTGCTCATCTCGTACACCGAGAAGTAGACGGCATGTGCCGGGCCCGCGCCGAGTGCCATAGCTCCAATACCGCGGTAGAGCCCGGCAGGGCCCTCGGACTTCAAAATTGACCGAAGGGCCTGCCGGAGTCCGACGGTCTTAATCGGGCACGACCCGAGAGCTTGCATATGGGTTTTAACGGTGTCGACCGGGAACATAGCCATGTGTTCGACCATGCCAGCAATTGAACCGGCGATCATGAACTGCCAAAAGTGGAGACCGTCGTGGGGCGACACGGTGGGGGTTGGGAGGTAATCCTGGGACTTCGGAACCTGGTGAAAGTCCTGGTTCTGGAACTTGGCGGTGGCGTCGGTGGCCATGGGGAGGGAGAAGGCGGCGGGCGGCGAGATGGGTCGTCGGGAAGTAGGGTTCTGGAGATGGGTTCGGGTCGGATTTGGATGATCTTCATAAACAGGGGTTTCTGAATCAAACAAGAGAGGTTGAAGGTTGCATCTTTTGGATTTAATAGTGTCTGAGAGCTGAAGGGGAGGGTGTGGATTGAAAGAGTCAACGACAAGGAAAAGTCAAGTTGGGATCCAATATAAAATAAGTGATTGGGTAATTAGGGTTCCAAAGAATTGGGATTTCAATTTATTTATTAATTTAGTAAAAAAGAAAGAAAATAGATTTTTCTCCCGAATTCGTGGAGAGCAATTAAGATTTTTCAAAAGTTATGTTTTTGGTTTTAAGGCCCAATGGGCTTCTTTTCATTTGTTTCTGTTTTAGGCCCATATATAACTAGGTTCTGCCTCTTTCCTTAGTCAATGCGACGAGCACCATCCTGTACAAACGAGGAAGTTTAGCAGCAAAGGAGGTTGTGCAGTTAAAGTGGTTAAGAACGTTAACTCTTTACATTATACACAGATTTTTTTGTATACAAGTAAATGATATTAAATAGAGAATTCTCTATCACAAGTACTAACATTATATTCTAAATTGATGAAGACATCAGCAACAAAGTTTGCTTTTTGAAAGACTTGATGCCCATGAGATATAGTGAAATCCTCTATAAAAGATTGGCATGTGTACGAAAAACCATAATAGCCCAATATCTCAATAGTAGCTTTGTCTAAAGCTTCGAATGAAAATGCTTATCCAAAATACAGGAACTATCTATTAAAAAAAAACTATAATAAGATTGTTTTCAATCGCATTAGAGTTACGCTTAAAGTTGAGCCTTAAAATCTTTTTTCCAAAGCTTATTCCCTTTTGTTTCTTAATTTTTTTTGTAGTTTATTCAATTTTCGTTTTAATGTTTAAATTTAGCAAAATTATAACTTTTTGGAGTTTAACAATGAATATAAAACGAAACCGCAGCACAATATTATCACAATTTGACGTCTAAGGTTGACCGATAGAGACTTGCTAATTAGGTTATTCGCAGTATGGTTATACTAATTACCAAATAGAGTGTTTCCCAATTACCTAAGAACTCACACTGGTTTTTTATTACATAATCTCTGTATCCAAGATTTAACTTCTAAATTTTCAGACCACTCATTAATATATACCATGAAAAAAAAATTACTAATTTACTGCATAACATTATTTATCATACTCCACGAAGGATAAACTTCCATTTAACTAGAAATTCTTTAATATTTCTCTTCGGTTTTTGTTCAAGCAAAATTCCATGGAGTGGTTTAATTTTAATTATTATTATTATTTTCCAATTTTGCGAGTGTCTGCATTGTTTTTTCACAATTTGGAATTAAAAATATTAATAGCAAAAAAAAAAAAAGGAAAAACATAGAAAAATTTGGATTTAATTGTTTCCAAATTAAACACGTGGTTAAATGATTAACGGCTATGAAACTTAACATAAATGAAGAGAGTCGGAGTCCTACTAAAAGTGAGATTTCTCTATTTCCTAATACAATCAGGACAGGCTAATTTAGGGTTTCTATTTCTTACTTACCCTCCAAGCAACTAATTAACCCTAAACCAATACCTCACCGCCCCATTGGCACTTCCCCTCTCTATAAATAGTACCACTCACTCTTTTCTCTCTTACTTTTGTCTGTCCCATCAACAACAACGCACAGAAACCTAGTCACCACTCGGCTACTGCACTTCATCTTCTCGTGTGTTGTTAATGGAGATCAATCATTC